CAAACACATTTCCATTGCAGTGTAGAGTAAAGGTCCTAAATATGAAGCTCACAGTTTACCTCCTTAAAGATCCACGTGTCAATCACTAGAATCCAGATAAATCCTCTTGCAATCAGTAATAGCAATATATACATGTGTCTGTATATATATATATTTGGTACTCAAAGGATTTTCTAGTCTTATTCCAAGCAATCAAGGACATGTGTGTTAAAATAACCATGGCACTGTAGAACAGTCTTGTAAATACCATATGTCAGAGGAAAAAATACACGGCTAAATGCATGTCAGCATCAGTTTCTGCAGTTTCGTAGGAGTTCTGGCCATGGAAGTGAAGCAAAGCTGGGCCAGCTGAAGATTCAGTTTTACACAGAGCTTATGCTGTGCTTTGAAAAGACAGATCAGGTGGTGATTGGAGAACTGACCTGGGACACAGCAGACTGGAATTAAGCTCCTGTTCTGCTGCAAATTTTTTGTGTGGGAAGCAGTTATATTTCATACATGGTGTTGCATCGCCACTTAAACTTTTTACATCTCTGTTCCCAGCAAAACAGAAATAATATTACTTTATTGTGTCCAGTCCCTACGCAGTCTTTTCTATCGAGACTGTAAGTTCTTGAGAGAAGGCAGTACATAGGTAAAAACTTTGCAATCAGAAAAACTTTGCAATAAGAACCTGGAAACAAAACTACTATAACTACAGTAGGAAGGGAAATTTGGCCTGGAAGAAGAACCAGAAAGAGCTTAGACATCTGTCTTACTGTTCCCAGAGCAGAACTTCAGTTGCAATCAATATACCCAAAATCCACACTCCTTAAATATAAGCGCATTATTAGAGGTGCAATCCGGGTCCACAGTGTCCTGGTATCCCCACTGACGGAAAACTCTTCCCTGAACAGGTAGTACAGGCTACGCTGAACTCCAGATCAAAGTCTTGATAAAGCCGAGGGCAGGTGGGTTTTTTGTAATTTCCATGATCTCTTTAATCAGTGGGGATGCAGGAGTGGAGGGGAGTGAAAGATCCTTTAGTTGGTTGTACAGAAAAGGTATCCATGCCTTTTCTTGGTAATCTACAAAAAATGGGATTGGGGTATGCATTTTCTGAAGAATGGATACTTAATCCCTGATTTTAAAAAAGGATGTATGTGAAGACAAGTTGTTTGATCAGAACCAGAAGAAATACTATTGATATGGGTAGAAACTGTAAAAAATTGAAGAAATCAATGACTTAGCTATTTAGGTAAAGAAACATTGAGACACTTGGCAGTGATCCCAGTTTTATCTCCTCTTTTCTAAAAGTTCGAGGCTTTTAAATATGCAACATATAGCTGGGCATTAAAGATTTTCACAGTCTTTTTCATATAAGCTTGGCTGTCTTTATGGATTTGATGCCAGAACTAAATCATATAAAAATCAGCTGAATAATGAAATCTGCTGGGGAAAAGAATGTAACCTATATAACCTGTAGTGTTGATAAAGCCTATAGTTTACAAAAGGGCAAAAAAAATCCAAGCCAAAAAAATACAAACCTGGAAAGGTTAGATAATGTCTTCTACAAGAAAAGAACAAACTTCCTTTCTCTTTCCACTTAGTCTGATGGTAAAGTAGAAATGGGAATACTGATTAAAAAAATTCTGCTTCTCTATATGTTGTGACAAATATAAAATGATTAAGCTATACTTGAAGATCCATAACTTTGGATAAAACTGCTTTTGAGGCTTGGCCAGAATGTCTGTTTCATCAAAAATCATTAGTAGGATACATCAGCATAGGGACAGTAACAAAAAAAAAAAAAATCTATTTAAGAAATTCAAGTGCTTTTTGAGCATATGGAGCCTGGCAAAAATAGTCCTCTTCTTACAATAGTCCCCGATGGGTGAGATTTCTTCAGAGAAATTGTGGAAGAATTGTGATAAAAGCTGGAGAAGCTGGGAAAATTTTGAATTCAGAAAAGACTTTCAGGGACCATCAGTCCAGCCTGTGACCACTAAATCCTTCTTGGAGTCACCAAGTTCTTTTAGAGAGATGGTATAACCCAGATATTTTGTGAAGAGATCAAAGATCATTTGAAGACAAGCACCTTGGGAGTTTGTGTGTCTATGCTACAAATACATTGCTAAAAAAAAAAAAAAAAAAAAAAAAAAATCTAGAATAGCTCTTAAGTTGTAATTCAAAAAAATATTGAAATTAACCAGGATGATGCATATATCAGAAGTAATAAACAAATACTCAGAGGTGATATATCTGGCTTACAAGACTGTTTACTGTTACTTTGAGCTTGTTTATCTTTCCTTCAAGTCTAGTTTTGTAAAAGCTTCAGCAATCTACAAATGACCCAGTTTTATATCAAGGACTTGTGTATCTCACATTGGCCTTTTTAGCCATCAGCGCACCTGTAGCAAGCGTGGGTAGAGCCCTTCTCAAATCTTCGTTCGTGAAGCCCAGCCATGATATCAAGGACAATGATTTCTGGTTTTACTGTTATTCTTATGGAGTTCTTGATAGTTATTGTTGGATTTAAAGGAGATGTTAACCACTGTTAAATTTGAGAAGTGTTAGAATTAACTTTCTAGATTTAGAGAAAGTGATTTTTTGTTTAGTTTTAGCACTTGTAGGGAGTAATACGGCACCTGGATCCTACACCTGAGGCAGGCTGGGTGTGACAAAAAGGCACTGTGTTAAAATTTTCTTAGAAAAAGCAACATGAACATCTTCTTTGAAGCCATAAGTACTTCTTGCCCTGGCATGGCATGTTCACAAATCTTGTAACCTGATGCTACCTTTACTGAAGTCAACTACTGAAGTATGTTACTTCAGTTACTTTACTGAAGTATTGGTACTGAAGAGGCAAAAGGTATCATCAATAATGTCATTCTTTGTTCTAAAGAACTTAGAAATCATTCAAAGACCAGCTCAGTTCCTAGATTTGATGAAAGGGACATAATGGAGTAAATTTCTTTGATTTCTGCCTATATCAGGGCTGCTAACTCCAGGTATGGACTTGAGAGAGGGTTGTGTGATAGCATTTCTCATGACATTCAGGTGGTGAGATCATTACTAGTGAATACCACTTGTCTTTTCCATTTCAGTTTGCACAGGTGTCTATACTTATGCAGAAGGTAGTAAAACAATCTAAATGCAAGGGTGCCCATAGCTTTGCCAGGGTCTTATTTGCTTTCTTCCTCAGCAGCTGCTAGAAGTGACAGTGCTCTAGAGCCATGTTTTGCTCTATGTCTGGGACTAGCCAGCAGGATTCTGCCCAGTTCTCCATTACTATCTATTACCCTCTCTTTAGTTTTTGAGTTTGGCTTCTGCCAGCAAAATTTAACTGAGATCTGTCTAGATCAGATAACCTCACCTAGAAATACTTCCAATATTCTGCAACAAGGGATTACGTTTTGTTGCGAGGAAGAAAACTAGGGACTCTCTTTATTGGAGGCCAGTTCTGAGTATACCCTTGGCATAGGCCATGCTAGAGCAGAAGATTAGTCTAGGAAAACAAGTCACAACACTTTATGGAAAATCAAAAGTGGCTGATTAACCCGGACAAATTGATCTGACTCCAGCGAAATTAGCCTCCCGAAGAGCTGTGCATCCATCCTTCTGTTGTTCCTGACCAGTTTCCTAATGAAGCCAGGGCAGTGGACTCTGGCTGTCATGCTGGTTTTCACCTGTATGTGGAGTTAAACGGGCTGCTCCCAGAGCCTCACTACAGGAGCTGAAGTGACCTTGGCGTGACACCCTACCGTCTGTGTTATCCAGGCTTGTAAATACTGCAAAGAGTGTGCCTGTTGTCCGTAGCCAGGTTGCCCTACTCGGCGAGGTTTTAGCAGCACATTTGTCGTGCCAGTAAGGCAGTCAGAACAGGATCCTGTAAGGCAGTCAGGAGATGAGGATACTGTCAAAATCTCAGGAAGCAGACTAGTAATCTGCAGAGGCCTAAATAGGGCTTTTAAAATTGGAAGCAGAACTGACTGCCTAGACAGAGTTTTTTGAAAGATAAACAGCGTCAGCAAGCTAAAAGGATTTCAAGCACAGCTTTAATTGTTTTTTCAAACGAATCAGCAAAGGGCACCCTAGCTGGAACAAGCTCTGAAGTACAATCAGGAAGATTTCAAGTGTACAGTAGTTTTGAAGATAGTCAGGCATTTCAGTGCTGGAAGACACTATAGTAAGTAATGAATAAAGCCTTTTTATGTCAGGACTGTAGTCTTTGAGTCAATTACAATACCTGCCCTAACATGCCCCTGCATGGTGAACTTCACCATCCTCATTAAAACTGACATGCACACGATTTCCAAACCTAAACAATTGTCTCTGCAGCACATTTGATCAGAAGAACAAATTTTTTATTTCCAATACCTATTGTGTGGAGAACACCCCCCATTTTCCTCCTTTTCCCCTTTCTTGCCCACTCCACCCAACCATCTCAATAGCCCGTGACAGACTACTAACAGTTCTGAGTGGATTTTACTGTAATTCTTGCAGAATCCCTTGGACCTTGCATAATGGAAATTTTTTGGGTCACCAAATCATGTTTCCTAATTATAGGAATGATAAGAAAAGAAAAAAAAAAAGAAAAAGAAAAAAACCCCAGACATAATGTAAAAACATTCCCTTATTCTGGCATTTTTTGCTTTTAGAAACCTGGGATAACCCACTCGCTCCCATCTGGTTTGCAAAGGTGTGCTCTGTTTTAACCTTGAAGCCAGAGCTCCTTCTCCTCTTCTCCTTCCCCGGCTCCTCTCCCACCGGAGCCGAGGGACCCTCCCGCTCCTACATCCTCCTCGCCGGGGAATTAATCAACCCCATCTCGCCCCCGCTCTCGGTTTTGTTCCCTCCTTCGGGAGCAGAGGCGATCGGGACGAACGAAGACTTCGCCACCGCGATCACCCCCGCGACGCCCCCGTCTGCCCTCCCCTGCCCGCCCCGTCCGCCACCTCCGCCCCGCACGGCAGCGGGCGGGCTGCGGGCCCGGCCGGGAGGGGAGCGCGGGGCGGAGCGCGGGGCCGCGGGCGGGGCGGGGCGGGGGTGGGCGCGGGGGGAGCGGCGCCTGTTGCCCCGAGAGAGTTAACGGTGCGGGCAAAGTCGCTCGCCTCTCCTCCGCCCGTGCTCTGGTTGCGCCTGGCAACCGGGGCGCCGCGCATGTGGGACCGCCGGGGGCCGCCGCCCCCCCGCCGGGCCCCGCGCCCCCCTCCCCGCCCCGGACGAGGCGCTTAACGTGCCCAGGCGTGAAGTATGGCATGCAAAGATGGTTTCTGCCAAGGAGCCAGTCATCGCCATGTCCTCGGGTCTCTCCATCGCCCTCCTGCACTGCCTGTGCCTGGCGACGTGGTGAGTACCCCGGCGGCGGCGCCGGGGGGCCCGGGCGGCCGGTCCCGGTACCGCTGCCCCCCGCGGGCTCCCGGCGGCTCCGCTCACCTCCGCTCCCTCTTTGCCTCGCAGTCTCACCGGGCCGCCCGGGCAGAGCAAAAAAGAGGAGAAATTGTGGCCGGAGAATTTCACCAGTATCCTGAACAGCCTCCTGGATGGCTATGACAACCGGCTGCGACCGGGATTCGGGGGTACGGTGGCGGCGCGGTGACGGCGGCGGGCGGGGGGTCGCTGGGCAGAGGCGAGGGGCGCAGCGGTCACCGCTCGGACCGACCCGTTACTGACCGAAAACGTGGGGGTGTGTCCCCACTCCCCTTCCCGGGGTTTGAGCTCTCCGGGAAGGGCTAGCAGTGAGGCAGCTCCTGGCCCCGAAAGCCCCGGGGGTGCTGCGCAGTCCCGGCTGTGGGGGCCCCGCTGGGGCGGTCCTGGGCTTAGCCCCCGCTTCGCTGCTCTGCCCACATCCCGGGCTCAGGCTGCTGCGCTGGAGGAAAAATAAGCCCTGAAGGCAGTGCGCGTTGGCTTGGTGGGGATGGAGGGTCTTGTCTAACATCCAGATTCTTCTTGTTCTTGTCAGTTTTCGACGCGTAAATGCCGCGGTCCGGTCCTAATAGAAACAACTGTACTTTTAATCAGCCTAAGAGGTTAAGTCTTTGATGGGTTCTATTCCAGTAGTTAGGGAAAACCAGAGCTGGGGTGCCTCGGCACACTAGTTCTTTACCACAGTTGCTGAAATTTCAGCGTTGGTTTAGAAGTAGTAGACTTAATTGCTGTATAGGAATTAAATGTGGAGAAGTTTCAGATTTGCCTTCACCCGTGCTCTGTATATGGGGGTTTTGGGCCTCTTTTGTACCCCAGGCTGTTAAGATGCAGTTTTGTGATGCTGAAGAGGCAGCCAGACTTGCTGTTCTTTATTGATTTTAGTGTTTCTATATAGGGACTTGGAATTAAAAATCATTAAAATCCAGGCAAAATAATGATAAAAAAATCTTGTAATCTGTAATGAAGATATTAAAAAATGCAAGTTTAGAAGTAGGGGAAAAAAAGATTTATAAGGAAATGCTACAACCCTTCTTATGATGCACGAAGCGATAACAAGGGTATTATAGGCTGCTTCCAATGCAAAACTGAATGAGATCCTTGCGTAGGTTTATGTTGCGAAATACTTTCTTCCTCCTCTGAAAGTACCTTCTTCATACACGTGATCCATCCACACTGACATGTATACCAACACATTCCCCACATGCCATATACAGTGCTCACATGCATGATTGTGATTGTTGAAGGACAACACCTGGCACCATTGATCGCTCCTTTATTATTATGAGTGTACTGAATAAGTAAGGCCTTCTTAAGTTACCTTACATGTTAAGTGAGAAGGAAGCTAAATTTGTGTTAACACCCCAAGGAATCATTGGAAAATGATAGCCTTTTGCAATTTAGTCTTTGCGGAGAGGTTACAGACACTTCTGCATGCGTACAAGAGATGTGCTATGTTTGGCATCATTTTAGGTTGAATGCCAACTAATTAGTCATCTAGCAAAGATGCTTTATGAGCATTATCAGATTTCCAAAATTAAACAACCACTAAATATGTAATATATGTTGATTTTCATTTTAATACAGTTGTCCTTTGCAGAATATTTTGCAAGAGTAGAACTTCTTCCCCTGTAAGTGTTGGAGACTTTCAACAAAATGCAATCAAGGAAAGAAAGTTCATTGCACCTTCTTGAACTTTCATATTGGCAATATTAAAGTAAATGAGAGAGGGAGGAAAAAAACTCTCAGATTTCAGCCTGGGGAAAACACTTCTGGGTGAATATTTCACAAAATGGATATTGTACCGCTTCTTTCTTCTTTCTTCTTTATTTATATTCTTCCTTAAACCATCTATATGGTTTAAACAACTCATCTTTGAGTTTTGAACTTTTAAGTAAAACATGGGTGAAAAATATTTTGGTTTTGAAAATGATGCTTGCCTCCCTAGCTCCTTACAGTGAAAATTATCTTCACCTGATTTAAGGAGCAACTTTGGGAAAAAACCCCCAGCAAAACCAAGCAAAGAAAGAAATTTCTGCAACTGATCAGATTCTACTTTTTGACATTACTCAGAGTAATAACTATGGATTAGTTATTGAAATGCAGAATACCAAAATCAACTTTTCCCTCTGTTTTGGGGATTTTATGCTGATAAATCTTTATGACAAATGGGATTTGTACCTTAAAAGTTGGTACTCTCTAGTTTGTAGCATAGCTAGCAAACAAAATGTTCATAGGGGATGGGAATATTTAGAGATGGAAAGTTTAGTGTGTTTTGGTAATGTTAAAGCTAAATCACTTTTTGAGGAACAGCAGATAATTACTTTTGTTTTCTTCTTGAAGCTGATTTACCATCTAGTTTCCACATGGCCTGAAATGAAACAAATGTTTTATTTTAAAAACAAAAAGTGTCACAGAGGTCTGACTGATGCTGATTTTAAACTTCAAATCAATGAAAGTATTTCTAATTCTGGCACAAATTGTCTTTAAAATTAGACTTGGGGAGGTAGCCGTATTCTGAATTTTGCTGGTATATTCCAGAGTTATTACAAATATCAATGCATTAAGAATTTTTGCATGCAAAGTGCAGTAGAAAATGTTTGATTTTGGAGACTTCCAACAACTGGATCAAAATTGTCAGTGGTAGTTATGCAGAAGAGGTTAAATTGCTTGAGCTTGCTTACAAATGTGGAAGTTGTCTCCCAGAAGAGTGGGGAATCTGAGTGTAGTATATGGAAACTTATCTTGGTGGTACTTATACAGGAGTATGGCATATGTTGAGGATTAATATAAGAATGAAGTTCCCCATGTCATTGGATTGACACCTTTCATTAAAAAATCACTTTATTAAATGAATGTGATAAACCTAAAAAGTTGTTGTCACTTACTGCCAAACCTCACAGTATTTAGTTTAATAGACACTAAGGGTTTATGCAAAAGCTTATTAAAGATCATTTAAGTGAAAGTTCCCTTTAAGTTGGGGAGGGAGGGAATCTAAAGATGCAAGACAGAAGCAAAGAAATGTCACCTAGAAATTTAATGAAACAAAGCAGAATAGGCAGTTTTGTGTAGGAAAGAAAAAAAACCTGCAGCTGCTGTCAGGAAGACTTTGAATCCATAAGAGTTTTGAATTCTAGTAGGGGGAAGGTATTTGGGGACTAATGAGTAAAGTAATGCTGTTGGCTGTTTGAAAATAGTGTGATGGAAATGAAGACAGTTCATTCCCTGCACTGCATGCTTGGTTATATCATTAGCTGGAAATTCAGCATTCAATTTTTAATCCAAGTGGGTCTCCTGGTCAAAACCACTCTATAAAAACAGGGTTTTTACAGAAGCCGCACTTCAAGAGTACTAGCACAGTACTATTTTGATTCAGCTGTAAAAGTTTGAAGTAAAAGCATTTCCAGTTAAACCCTGTCTCCAGTTTTCATCTGCTTTTAAAATTTTTGTGTATGACATGAAGGAAAACTATAGAAAGTTAAAAAAGTTGGATTTGCTCTGAAAATCACCTTGCTACCTTTCTGGTGATTAGTTTCAAAGGGACAGTAGAATTCCAAAGTCTTTGAAAGGAACTTCATTCACAGTAAAAGGCCTGAGTCTGATTTGCCATTTTAAAGCCATGCCTGGTTTCAGACTGTACCTGAGGAACTCTTGGTGGAAGCAAGAGCTTGCAAGAGCCCATTCAAACCTGTATTGGATTGTAACCTTAAAAAATGTAACGGTGTCTTCGAAACTAATGATACAGTAACTTATCACACTCAAGCCAGGATTTAAGGAAGTAGGAAGGAAAAGAGAGACTGAAGCTGATGAGACCAGCATCACTGCGCGCTACCTTGTATCTACTCATTTTAATGAATTGTGTCTTTTATAGAACATCTCATCTCTGATGTCTTGCCTTTAATGGCCAGGTGTATGGCCAGAGCAAATAAAGAAGGTGGTGTATGACTTGCCTTCTCCCCGAGGGTCTTTGATTGTGAAACCTGCTCACCACAAGCTGCTGGCATTTCCCACAGGGCGTTACTGGCTCGTTGTGGTGTGGTTGCCCATCAGTCAAGTGAGAGGTGAAGCCCTTTCCCTTCCTGAGTTCTGTTTTGTTGTGTGAGGTAGAGTCTGGCATGAGCTTTGAGTCTCACTATCAGCTACTGAAATGGTGTTAGCTCTGTGGCTTTCTCTTTCAAAACTGCCACATACAGTGACTCATGAGTAGAAGGAACAGGACTGTGTGCATTTGTTTCCGCTTTTATTTTCTTCCTCTTTTTGCATTCTTTCTTATGATCTCATACCTGTGAAAGTGCACCTGAGTACTTGGTGGAATTGAATATATTGGCTATTGTCTCCTGTTGGAAGGGTAGGAGAGGGCTCCTCTGCCCTGTCTAGGCTGTGTGATGTTCAGCTGATGAATAGCATTTCTGAAGAGTTTCATTTCCTGTCAATGCAGGACTTTAGTCAGAAAATAAACACAGAATACACTCGAAGAGCAAAGACAATTTTCTGGTTTTAGAGAAAATAAAAATATCAACATGATTATCTGTCCTTACTAGGAACTCACATGTTCCTTCAAGGTTCCATTGCTCAGCATAATAGATATTGCAATTTATTTTTATTTTTTAGATTGCAGATGGACTTGAAGTGAGCATTGTAAAGTGAAGCTGGTCATTTTTTTTTTCCAGGCAGTTGTCCAGTCTTCCTCAGCTGGTGAGAGTAGATGACTCAAAGCTTAACAGGATATGGTGTTAGATACCTGTAGGTGACGGATTTGAATTTGGCCCAGGTTAGTAATGCTTGAAGTCATTACCATCTGTCTGTTGTTCACTGATCTGTATAAAATTAGCTGATATTCATAGTCCAGTTCTTAGTAGACAGGTGTACACATCATGAAAACTGGCACCAGTATCAAGCTTATTGGCTGTCTCACCAGAGATGATCTGCTGATAAACAGGCAAAGAAACAGTAATCTCCTAATTTCTGGAGGTATTTTTTTTCCCTTTTCATGTTCAGACATGCTGATGGATAAACATACATAGAGACAAGGGTTACTGTGTGCTCCTGTGTTTATTGTGTTGTCTTTTGGAAGGAAACGCAGCCCAGGCTTTTGAATTCTACTTTAATTTCTTAAAAATACCCTACCTACTTGTTCTGGCTTCTGAATAGAATTCTTACATATAACAGGTGTCCTTAGCTGTTCTTTCTGATAAAATGAAACAAGAGAACATGCCTCATATTATGGCTTTTTTTTTTTTCACTTCAGTTAAAAAATGTCAACCCTATTCAGGCAGCAAGAATTTGGAAAGAGATAGCACCAAATCTTTCACATATACTTATATTTAAAAAAAATCTGTAGAAACTACTTTTTTTTTTTTTTTTTTTTTTTTTTTTTTTTTTTTTTTTTTTTTTTTTTTTTTTTTTTTTTTTTTTTTTTTTTTTTTTTTTTTTTTTTTTTTTTTTTTTTTTTTTTTTTTTTTTTTTTTTTTTTTTTAAATGTAGCTGTAGGAACTGATGTAATACAATTTTATGTGGTTTATGTATCCTGGGACTGATCTCATAATAGCAGCAATAACTGCACTTAGCATTTAAACTGTACTTTGTATGCTGAAACCTTTGTACAGACTTGCTTGTTAATGTTTCCAATTAGTTGTGTGATTTTTTTGATGGCAAAATTTGCAATATACAGAAAGCCTGTGCAGGGTTTGACTGTTTACATACAGTGGAGATCTCTGCAGTGACAGTTGCCTATGGAGACGCAGCAATAATGGAGCCCAAAGTCTTTCCCTGGGAGCTGTGCTGCAGTTCAACCCATATGTTGACATAAAATGCATGGGGGAGCTGTCTTATGTTCATCTTCACAGGGCTAGGGCCCAGCATCGCTTCTTCAGCCCACATGTAACATCTATACCACTGAACTATTCTGGCTTTTTGCAGGGGTTGCTTTTAATCCTGCTTGAGCTTCTTTAAAGTGTATTATCTTGCAAGCAGTGATTCAGACTTAACTGTTCCCACTGCAGTGTGTAGGACTCTCCTCCTATTTCATTGACATAAAAATACACACCGGTACGTTATAAATAGTTCTTCAGCATTCCTAAAGATTTATGGTGGATAGATAGTTCACATCCACTGAGGAACAAGCTCAAATGGTCACATTCAAAGTAACTGTCCTTCTTACAACTCCCTGCATTTTATTGCCACTAATAGGGTGTTAGGGATTCTAATAGGATCTTCTGCTTGCAGAACCTGAGTTGATTTAGTGGTGCAACACATTCATTTTGGAGGGCTGCTTAAATCACCAGTAAAAGTAGGTTAGGTGACTACAGATCACCTCCTCGTTGACAGGAATTCCCACTATTAATAATAGTTTAAAAAAGAAACAGCAGCATGACTCACTATTTATACCCCCACTATTGTTACCAACTCGAGTTACGTTTTCTTCTAGAACAAGAAGAATAAGAGATAGGTATTGGTGTCACCATAGATACTCCTGGGTTGGCATTAAGTACTGGGCCGTGCTAGAAAATCCAAGATTTGTCATTTCATTACTCTTAAGGTCAATGTAGGTGGAAGATGTGGAGCATGAAAGGGCTGCAACTGGAGAGAAAACATTAAGGAGATTATCAGCTTCACTGTTTCTGGCTGCCATCTTTGCTTCTACCAGACAATGAAGTGTTTGGCCAAGGTTTTGGCTGCAAAGCAAGGAATTGTATGTCAGTACTACCTAGATAACTGTTAGGATACCTATAATATTTCTAGATCCTCCATCATCTGCCATTTTCTAAAGGGCTATAATGTGATTTTAACATTTGTTTTGTCACTCTTCTGCCATCATGTTGGGCAAGCAACCAAAAGTAAACATTATTTTGTGGCCTCATCATTGTCTGAGAGTTCCTGATTCCTTCTTTCTCATGGGTCATATTAATAAATATTTGAGAAGAGAAAAACAGTTACTGGAGAGTGAACTCAAGCATAGTTTTAGTCCTGTGCTGCTTCTGTAGTAATTCTAATAGCATTAAGTCATAGGCTTGATGATTTGGAGGTTAGCTTCTTGGTCTTAGCTCTCCCCTTCTTTCTGAGAAACTCCAGAAAACAAATCTGCGAAGAGGCTCCAAACACTTATTCCTGAGAAGCTGTAATCATTTAATAAAACAGAAGAAATCAGTGTCTGAGGAGAAGCAGCTTGTGCCTCTGAGAAAAATCTGTCCCTTTTCTCAGTTTGGTATAGCTAGAAAATTACAGTGTTCTATGAGCTAAAGAAAAGAATATACCACCAGAAGGAAAGCATTTAAAGGTTTGGGGTTTATTTGAGGACTATTCCTATATAGTTTCTTAGAACTAACAAGTAAAGCAGTTCCTGAAAGGAATTCAGGGACTAGTCTCTGTTGCTCAATAATACTGAATATTGCACTCAGTTCCTGAAAGGGATTCTTGCGGGAGCTGTGAGCAATATTCATCATTCTCTTATTATAGAGTAACAAAGACTAATTTCTGCATTTTCTTATTAAAGTTATTTGAGAAAATGACTTTTTTTTTTTTTATTATTTCTATAGAAGTGATTTCAGAAATATTTCAAGTTCAAGTGAAATAAATATTTATATATATTTAAAACAACCCCTGATAAATAGTGGTAGTACTGTGATTATGGGAGGTCAGTTGCAGTGAAATCTATTTCTAGGTACAAGTGTGATTGGGCTTTTCTCTCCTATTTTCTAACACTGTAGATGAATGTCTTCACTTCTAATCTCTTGGAGCTTTTCTGCTCTCCAGAAATAATTATATTCAGGAAATGTCATTGGACTGCACTGTCAGTCAAATGAATGATCTAAACACTCATGGATTTCCCTGACCTAATAAACACTTTTTTTATTTTTAGAAAGGGGAGCAGCTTCCATTTGACATGTCCAGAGTGCAACCCACTGCAAAACAAATGGTGTGATATGAAAATGTGTTATCTGGAACCTGGGAGTTGCTTCTTAAAACCTCTTCAAGACAGACATGCCAAACTATCCAACTTTCCAGGGACCACTGAGCTACCAACTCTTGTACAGTGAATTGTCTTTAGATTATATCTTGAAAAAATGTATGTGAAACTTAGCTTCCAGCAAAGTCCCTTTTTTGACATTTAGTTGAAAATTTCTTAGCTGTTCTTCTCTACGTAATTTGCAAATTCTTTAGTAAAATTATTTTACATGGTTTTTTTTTATTTTTTCTTCACAGCTTGGCACTTGTTCTAGGTGCAAGAAGTATAGATTGCCTGTTTTCCCATTGCATATTTGGTTTTTTCCTTCTACCATTTGATTTAAAGTACCATTTGTAAAGAGTGATTTTTTTTTTTTCTTTTCAAGAGGGACATATTCTTCCGCTGCTAACTCTGTTGAGTCTTTCCTCCTTTCATTTTTAGATTGCAAATACTATGCTAAAGCTTGAATTAACAGACCTGAGCCACTTATCCTCTTTAGAAATTTGAGTTGTAGGGGTTTAGAAACTGGTTGTGAATTTGTAGATCATACGTGTTTTTTCAAACAGATTCTGTTTGGTAAGACTGTTAGTAGATTTTTTTTTTTTTAATTTTTTAATTTATGGTATGAGTTAATTACCTGAATTAAACTGTTAGCTAATGCTTTGATCACAGAATCATCTTAACAGCTGGTAATGATTAGCAGCTTTCTAGCCTTTTACACTGGGAACAGACCTAAATCCCAGTGATATTAGTGTGTGTGTTCTGTGGTTTAAGGGGAACTGTAGAGTGAATGCCCCTCTGAAACTTCAAGGTAGTAAAGGAAATGATAATTAAAATGAAACTGCTTTCTCTGTTGATTGATTTGCCATATGCAGCTGTGAGAGTGCAAGACCTCTACTCGGTGCCCTCTTTTTAACAGCATCCCAAATAACACCAGCTCTTTCAAGATAGGCTTTGTAGGAGGATGTGGTCATAGGTTCACACCCTCAAAAATGATTAGATGTCCAAGTTTTATTTTGAATGTTAGTGTTAAAGCACTTAAGTACATTTGGGATATGGATGCAGTTCTTGATCCTGCAATACTAGATTGCCCAGTTCATGGCATGCTAATGTTTGTAGTCCAGTTATTACCAGTAGGACCAAATATTAGTAATAAATGCCTTGAGGAAAGTGGATTTCCTGAATGCAGTGCTTTTTGTTAATTATCATGGTGTTTTCAGTGAGCCTTTTAATTTTTTGGCCTTGGTTTTCTTAGTCATTGAGTCAATGTTAGTTTTCTGAATGGGGATTTGCATGGAAATGCTGTTTTTGATTTACTTGTGTGGCAAATGTAATGGAGCAGTGCTTCTAGACTTATCTGAATTGACCTCTGTTTGCATTTTGCTCTTGCTCGTCCACAGAACCCTGAAAGCGGTAATTGTTCACACACCAGGATCATTTATGGGAATTGTTGACCTGCAAAATTCAAATTTTCTTGCTCACTTCCTTTTCATACATTAGGTCCTGTTACTGAAGTCAAAACAGATATATATGTCACCAGTTTTGGACCGGTTTCTGATGTAGAAATGGTATGTATTTCTGGGATTAAAATGCCATTTCCTGGTTCTGAGAAACCATTAACTGCAGTAGGAGTGGATGCTTCATCTGTACTGTTCTGTCAATCATGCAAATTAGGCAAGATTAGTAACAGCTTAATTTACGAGTTATAATTAGATCCATCAGGCCTGATTCTGGTCACACTTTCAGTGGGTTTTGGCTGGCTTAAGGAATTCACTTCATAGGATTTAAAGCAGATTTTCACGGTGTAGAGGCAGAATCAGGCCTTCCAGGGAGTGTCTAAGTCAGTCTACTTGTGGGGAAAATGTGTAATATCTTTGAAATTGCTTTTCATTTCTGAAACTTGTGTTATTCTCAGTTGAATGATAATGACATCACAAATACTTGTTGACATTTTCATTTCAGATGAATGCTCTTTGCTGATCTTTATAGTCCTTTTAACATCGCTTTCAGCAAATGTTTGACTGATAAGAGTTTTCATAGGTATTTACAGAAATTGAATGTCCAAGTGACATGCATGAAATAGTTAAGAGAGGAGAAATGTTACATTTACATGTTCTGTTATTTGGGCCTGAATGGCTTTTGCTTTCAAGGTCAAATCCAGCAGAACTCTCATCAACTTTTAGAATACAGTGGTATGCCCTTAAATCATACAGTAGTTTCTCTTTTTATAAATTATTCAAGAAATCCTGTGGAAGTAACACAGCCATATGTGCTGAACTGAACTTCTTTATGGAAAAGGCAGTTTAACAGTAGTAATTTTCTTCCCATATAGTGTTGTCATTCACTTTGTGGTTTACTTGATTTGCTTCTATCATGTGGAAAGGTATGTGATAGCAAAATATTTTTTCAAGGGCTACATTTGTGCCAGCAGCCTGATCTTGAAATGCATCTTACCCCTTCATTGGATGTCATGTACAGTATGATGCTTATCACTGTGACAAGGGGTACGAGAATCTGGAAATACCAAGGAAATATAGTAATATGAGCCTAAAAACTACAATGAGGGCTGCATGGCATCTCTCAGGTTTCATTGGAGCATTTGACATGGTGCCATGTGGGAGGTTGCTAGTTATATTGGAGAAGACAGAAGTGAGAACGTGGACTGAAGGTAGGTAAGGAACTAGTCAGGAGGGATCCAGGGGTTGTTTTTGGAATACTTTTTAGTTAACATATCTATAAGTGACCCAATGTAATGTGGCTACACTCAGAAAATTCACTGCAATGGTGAGGTGTGATACGATTTCAGTACAGGGGATAAGCAGAATGTCTCTTTAGTGGCTTTGGTACCCAGTGTAATGAAAACACTTGAAATCTTACATTACAAAATCTGTCACGTAGAAGATAATAACAGAAACTACTACTTGGGAGCTATGAAGTCATCAGCAAGAAATGACACTAGAAAAGACACTTTTCATGGATTAGCTATAAACCACAGTGGAGGATACAGTCATGGGAAAGAAGACAGATATAATCCTAAAATGCATGACACCAGTAGATGTGCCTCATTGCGAATGCAAATAGATATGGCCTGACAAGTAATTTCAATGGTAACATTATGCAGAAAAGTTCAAAACAAAGTCAGAAAACATTGTTTGCTTAAAAAAAATCACAACTGTGAGTTAGAAAGGACTCAAAGCTTTCCATGTTACATTTTTCAATGCCACATGATGGTTTTTTTGTATGTGAAATGCTTTCACTTTCTGAGATGAGAAATGTATTCCTTCATCCATTCATTCATATGTTATTTCTCATCGTGTGCCCATGTCTGCAGTTCTGCTGTTTGCGTGTTTTTGTTGGAGCATCTGTATGGCTTTTCCGAGGGTTAAATGAGATAGTTATAGTTTTAAAAAATGTGTATGTATGCAAGTCTATATATAATTTATTAACCATGTTTTGTGGGCATGGCAAAGAACTTATTTAGCTTTCCTCAGCTAAAAGCCTACTTTCCATGAGATGAAATTAAGTTTTCTTTCCTAACTTTAAAGCGAAAGTAATTGTTTTTTGGTATTTTTTGGTATTTTTAATTTAGACAGCAGCAGTAAATCAATGGATATATTTTCTTTAAAAATCTGTTGACGCTTCTCATCAGAGATCATTTTGTTTCCAGTTATATGCTTGACTACAAATTCAGTTGCCTTCTTCCTGCAACCTAATTAGATTAATTATTCCTTAACGATTAAATGTGTAGTAATTTATTGGTATGACTAATGTAAGAAATTAAGCTAATAAGAGGTACACAAGACACTTACTTTAATTAGTGGAAATGTGTTTATGTAGTAGACTTGGTATTTTCTTTACTAATGGTTTCTTTGCTCCTGAGGGATTTCTTCTTTCACAGGAAACACGCATGCAAACATGATCTTTGTTTTTCTTCAATTTAATACAGGAATATACGATGGATGTCTTCTTTCGTCAGACATGGGTAGATAAAAGATTAAAATATGATGGCCCTATTGAAATTTTAAGACTTAACAACTTGATGGTCTCGAAGGTGTGGACTCCTGACACTTTCTTCAGGAATGGAAAAAAGTCTGTTGCACATAATATGACAGCCCCAAATAAACTCTTCAGAATAATGAGAAATGGCACCATCCTGTACACAATGAGGTATCTAACGTATTTGTTTGACTTCTAACAATTACTGTATGCGAAATTATACTGCCCAGACAAAATGGCAACCAGAGACTATTTAATTTGTTCCATTATAGGCTTACAATAAGTGCAGAGTGTCCCATGAGATTAGTGGATTTTCCCATGGATGGTCATGCTTGTCCTCTCAAATTTGGGAGTTGTAAGTTGCAATTATGAAATTTCTTGTAAATACAGAATTTAAATAGTAGGAGTAAATTTTGAGCAATTAATAGACTTTCTGAATATATACAGATGTGTCTTGATAGGCAATCCCTATGCAGACAAAACTCCTGTTAAGTTCCTTGGAAATTTTATTTAGAACCTTAAAAATGAAACCCAGAGAAGTGAGAAGCAGGCAGTGATTCAGCTATCATGTTAAACCTGACTATTCTGGTTACACAGTTGCTTGAAATATATAGTTTTTCTTGGTTCTCAGTAAGGAATTGGGTACCCAGTGAAGTGAGGGATTCTCTGGAGAAGACAAACTCAATTTATAACAGCCAAGTTAAAGGCACCTAGGGAAGCAGGTTATTTGACTTTCTGTACAGGTAGTGGAGGGACATTGGCATACTAAGATAGATGTGTAGGTTACGTGCAGAGATTTGATTCTTAGTTGTAATTGTCTGCATGGCAAGTTTAGATGAAATAAATAGTTTTTAAACTGGTGAGAAAAATCTTAGTGCAGATTACTTTTCTGCTTTGAGATCAGAAGTAGTTTTTTGAAAAACGTCCAAACTTTGTCTAAAAGGCACATTTTGGAACGTGCTGCATAACAACCAAGGGAGATAGTTATGGTTCCATGATATGAATCCAAAGCAGAAACTTCTAAGACCCCCTGGGGATGGTTGGTGCACTCCATAACTATCTTGTCACTCTTTTAAGACTTCTTGGTCACTGACTTCTCTGCTTTAGACACTCTGGTGTAGTCAGTAGCTGGACATTAATTTGTTTTCCTTGACACCAGAGCTCTGATGTCAGAAATGGCTGGAGAACCCTCATAGTTTTTCCCTAACATAAATTATCTTATCGAGCTGGGTAGTCAACCTAAAGGGGGGTATTAAAGACACTGCTCTGATATGATTTTTAATACCTATTACAGTGAGACTGGGGACCAGGTGCTGCAAGATTTGACTGTGGTATCAGCTGTATGATAGGGGTACTTCGATAGTGGGGCTCCTCCACAGGCATCATATTTCTTGAGGCAGGATCACCAGCTGGCAGAGATTTTGCTGAACGCTAATCTGGTATTTTCTGCAGTGAAACTTCAAATAACATGTAGCCATTTCAAATGTAAGACTTATTTGATTTAATTTTAACAGGAGTTTGGACTGTGTAGGGATTGAATGCTAGCCCTAAGTTTCTTTTGCCTTAAATGTAAAATGTTTCTTTGTGTGTGCTTATTGTGAATTTTTTACTGACCTATGGTTTCCAGCAAATATTTTAAACAGAAGTTTAAAATATTGTAGTTTTTAGTATATTCATTCTTTTCTGTAAAGAAATGTGCACCCAATCTTCAAAATGTATCCTCTTCAAAATTTATGCTCTTTTTTATACATTAGTGTATTTTAACAATACAATTTTAGATAGAAATTGCTAAAATAAAGATAAACTTTGCATGCCCGGTAGGGGCTGATCCAGAAATAACTTGCATTTAGTCTTCACATTCATTTGTGAAGTGAATTTATGTGTGACAAGTGACATACAGTCTTAGTTGTTATTTATTCTCCTCTGAGGGTGGCTTTTGGGAATAACTTAGCATGAAGGGTATCTTCTAAAGTTGTTTATGTGAGTTTTACTGTTTGGTTTCAGTAGATTTAGATTGGGTTCTTAGTAAGGTACGAGAAAAAGTTTCCTGTTTATGCAAACTGATGCTGTGTTGTAGATGCTTATCCAAAGAGTGAAATGATTTATACGTGGACAAAAGGACCTGAGAAGTCAGTGGAAGTTCCTGAGGAGTCTTCCAGTTTAGTTCAGTATGACCTGCTTGGGCATACGGTATCCTCTGAAACTATTAAATCTATTACAGGTAGGAATCTTGTCAGTAAAAATCAACTTGAGGTAAAACTAACCTGTAACATTGCCCAAAGCTTTTTTCCTTTTCTTTCTGTAAGTTATTCTACTGAATGTCGTAGGGTATGTATTAAGGTCTGAGAGTGTAAATCTGAATTAGGTTTCTGTCCTTGAGATTTACATTTGCAGATTCATTACAGTAAATTGTGAGAGTCTTTCAGAAAGCTAGAATGAGATCATTACTCCGAGGGACAAAATGAGCATTTAATCACTGCTTAAAATGCAGTTTCAAGAGTCAAGAGGATGCCTGGGTGAGGAAGTAATTTCTCAGCACTGTATCCACATTATGTGCAAAAGACTTCCTTTGTTTGGTGGTGCAAACAGCTTGGGATAGAAGTACAGCATACAGAATGGGTTATTAAAGCCATAAAAACCCTCTAGCTGGATAAGGATAGGCACAAATGCAATAGTCACAATAGATACTTCTGCTGATTTTTGCTGTAAGAAATAAGGGAAATGGTAACTACAGGCATCCAAAATGAGTGAAGTATCACTGATGAGAAGTGTGGCGATAAACAAGCATATTCCCAAAATATTATTAAAACTTGGAATAATTTTCTAAGCATCAGCAGGTTTAGGTGTTGTGAGATGGTCAAAATGAAACAGATAATGCAAATATATTTGATTACTCTATGGGTATTATACTCAAAGATAAAATGACATTTTGCAATATGCTAGAAATTTACTTCTCGGCATATTGGTTACTGTGAGTTAACAACAAAATTTCCTTACTGTCCCCAAAAGACTCATTCTGTAGGCTTTATTTAGACAGTTTATGCAATTCATGGTAAAACTGCTTTTCTGTCTCTTTGCTTAGTATGAATGATAACATTTTAGATAAACTTTGAGTATTTTTAATTCTTCTCAGTGATTTTTATATTTGTTTCATTATCATAGTGATGCTGACATATAAACCTAGTAAAAAGCTGAGATGCTTGCGTAACATTTGATGTTAAGTGTGTCTTTGTTCTTATTGTTTTGTTTGGCAGGTAGGTACTACAATGTTATAGATACTATGGTGGGTAGGTAACTTGTGTCTTGGGATTCTCTTCAATAGCTGCCAGAAGGTTTTTAGAAGTCATGCTTATACTGTAAAATTAAATCCAGTATTACCTGTACACTTACAGTATTTTTGATGTCAGCTTTTAAATGGAACTGTAATGACTTATCATTTCTAGGATTTTTTTGTTTAAAAGTTTCATTCTTTTTAGAAAGACCATCTCTTTCTGTACATGTTAAGTAATATGAATAGCATCATCTTAAACAATCCTAACTGAGAGTCTGAAATAGTTACTCTGCAACACAAATTTAATACACAGTCAGAAAAATATTTTTCTTTTTTTTTTTTTAGGTGAATATATTGTTATGACAGTTTATTTCCACCTCAGACGGAAAATGGGTTATTTCATGATTCAAACCTATATCCCATGCATTATGACTGTGATCCTCTCTCAAGTTTCATTTTGGATAAATAAGGAATCCGTTCCAGCTAGAACTGTTTTTGGTAATTATTTCCTTTTTTTTTTTTTTTTTTTTTTTTTTTTTTTTTTTTTTTTTTTTTTTTTTTTTTTTTTTTTTTTTTTTTTTTTTTTTTTTTTTTTTTTTTTTTTTTTTTTTTTTTTTTTTTTTTTTTTTTTTTTTAAATTTTTTCTCGTAATTCTTCTTTTAATGACTTTCACTAGAATAAACCTTTTCAATGTCATGGGGTATAGTGCCTCCATACTAGCACAGAAACAAGGGAATAGTGTAAAATTCAGAACAGCTTTTGCTATCGATAAAGAATGTTGCTGCGTGAATCCTTGGAACCTGAAGAGAAACTTGGAATATATAACCTGAAGGGTGGCATGGTTGTCTGTGGCAAATGGCTGTACAGCTCTAGGGATTTTTGCTGCTTAGGGAAGACCTGGCCCTGAGTAATAGTCTGGCCCTTAGTCTACATCCAGAGCAGGTTTATCCTTCAGTGGGCGATAGTGTAAGTACTTGAACTCGCATTTTATAGGATACTTGTAAAATAATTTGGAGTGTGCAAGATGTACAGATATCTTGTTATGAGGTATCTGTGTCATCAGTGGAATCTTACTATGAGTAAGGCTTAGATCCTGTTACTGTAATTTCATGTTTAGTGCTCTTCTTTCCTTTCTGCCATTGCCATTATGAAAATGAATTACAAAAGCAATTTGAACACAAGATATTAAAATTGCCCTCATCAAAATACAGCTTGAATGAGATGCTACAGTGAACTCTGAGAATAAAAAACAGAAAAGCTTTTGTGGAAGAAAAACCATAGGAAATAAATGGAAATATAACAAAGAAATAGGATAAAAACATTTTAAAAATCAGCCTTTATAGAGCAATGTCTTGGCTTCATAAAGTACTGTAGTCTAAAGCAGGAAGAGAATGTTCTACAAAAAGCCTTTCTGTAGATAGATAGATGCTGGAAAGAGTGATAGGAAATAACAAAAAAATATGTGATGGCCCATTCAAACCTGTAAGTTGAGTCAGAACATTGTTTATATCACAAATGAGACAAGGGTAATGATTAGTTTTAGGAGAAACAACTTGTAAACCTAATAATCCCACTAGCTTTTAACTCAAGCATTACATTAGGCACACTAATGTATCACTTCATATACCTTTACAGTGATGTTGGATAATGATACTTTTTTGAATGGAATATTGCCATGAACTGGAAATATAGAATCTGTTTTTAAAGACCAAATGAGATAATTGAAAATGTACATAGACGATAGAGCAATATATTAAATACGTGTAACTATATCCATATGTGAAACTGAAAAATACTAATAAAGTTTGGACATCTACTGAGTTAGAGATAAGTCGCTAAAATACCTTTGAAAGCAAGTAACTTAAAGTATGGCAGCAAGTATCTTTCTAGTTTTGAGACCAAGTCCAACAGGGACCCTATTTTCTAAAGGTTTTTTTTCAAAGAGAAGAAGAGATAGGGAAAATACAGGAATGAAGCCATGCTTTGGTACCAGCTTTCTAGAGGAACTGTCAGAAGAGGCTAACTAAAAGATCATTGCATTGGACACTGAATGATTAGTAAGAATTTGTGAAAAGTAACAGATGAAGGATACGCAAGGAACTACGGTACATCGATTCATGATTTATGCAGTCAGAGCTTCAAACAGAAGCAGAGTGGCAGAGTGGAAAAACAGCAGTAATTTTAGAACAGGTTTTAACCGTGAAAATTTATTATTAGTGTTTAATTTTAACATTAGTTTTTATATTTATGTTAAAAATTAAGGCTTATGTGCATTTCTGATCAGGAGCTTTTAAATATTTAGCTTTGGATAATTACAGTTTATATGTAAACAAAATATTTTTACCGGGACTTAGTTCCCTACCCTGTAAATCTCTATGGCACATGTCCAGGGGCAATTGCAGTGGCAGCTGCAAGTCTCCTGAAGAATGATTTAATAGAGAAAAATCCGATAAAGATATAATACTGTTGTGGCCTCCCCTCTCCTCCTTGTTTTTCGTCAACATTCGATCACTCAATTCACTTCAGCCTACTTTTGCATTTGTTAAACAAATGTCTTTAGAAACAGTTCAGGCAAACTTTTTGCTCTAAGTGGACAAAGGTCCAATCAGGTCCTCAGGAAGGATAGGGCTAAACAGGGATGGAAAAAAACCCCACCCTTTCCATAATTAAATTTTTTTTCCCCTCAAACTTAAACATTTTCAGTGGTGTGTTTTTCAACACCTTCCCACTGAAGAAGGTTTTGTGAGCTTGCATCTATGTTTTTTGTCTTCCCGAGTTCGCTCTGATACATCCCTTGTACTTTCATGAACTGGCAATTACTCTTTTTTCTCTTCCCTCTTCTTTAGTAGGAAGGACTGGTTTTATTGTGACCAGTTCTCTGTGTGGCAGTGAAGCTTTTTAGTATCAGATTACCTTGATGGAATACCACTATTTAGCAAATGGGATATGTGAGGAATCTGTTGAAAAACATGTTCTTAAATAGTTTGAATTCTTCTGAGAATAAGAATTCTATCTTGAATTAGAATGGTTACAACGTTCTTTTCATAAGAGTAAAGACATCTCCACTTGTAGTTAATCTTCCTTGAGGTTATTATGCTAGGACTTGCATAGTGTTCACGACATGCTTGGTGTTTTACTTTTGGATGATATGGGATATTTTGGATGAAAAATGAAGAAAGGACCCCATACCCGGTTTTGTGCAGCATGCGTTTGAATTTGAATTACTACCATGAAGTGGTCGTGTTTTGAGTTCAGTGTTCATGCCTGTACATTTTAATTAAAAAGTTGTTCTTTCAGAAGAATAAAATTCTAATTAAATGTTTATTGGTGGACTAGTAGTAGAAGGCTTTAAAAAAAAGGGTGATGGTTTCTTACTAACAGAATTGTTAATATAATATTTTTCCTTAGCACCAAAATAATTTGTCATGACTTAATGACACCTGCATTACAAGTGGGATCAGAGGAACAGATGCGGAATAATAGGTGGTATTCAGAACCCTTTACAGGAAAAATCATGTTCTTGTTGCAGGAGCGCTCCTCAATTTAACAACCTAAATTATGTTCAAATGATTAGAAAATGTTTAGAAAATAACTTGTAAAAACGCCTACTGAACTTGACATGAAAAAAAAAAAGTGAAATAAAGGCTTTCATGTTTTCTTCATGTGAACTGTAGATGATCTGCTGAAGTGAAGGTTTTCTGTGCCTCCTTTAAAAACTGGTTAACTGTTTTGTGTGCATAGCTGCTCAGGGATATGGTGGTTGCCTTGACTTAGATGTAATGGCACTATTCACAAGCAGCACAGAAAGACTCACAAGTGATTTAAAATTCTTTGTTTGAAGCTGCTTGCTTTGTTTTACTTTGATTCAGCAGTGCTTTTTCTTTATTTCTTTGAAGGAATAACCACAGTGTTGACAATGACGACACTGAGCATCAGTGCAAGACATTCACTGCCAAAAGTATCCTATGCTACTGCCATGGACTGGTTCATCGCGGTTTGCTTTGCCTTTGTATTCTCTGCTCTTATTGAGTTCGCTGCTGTCAATTATTTTACTAACATTCAAATGGAAAAAGCCAAAAGGAAGACAGTAAAGTCCCTTCTTGAATTTCCAGTTGCTCCAGTACAAAGAAAAAGAAGTACAGAAGAGACGCTCACGGTATGTTTTCAACTTAGACAAACATTTTCTGTCTTTTTGGTAGTGCTTTCCAGTAAACGCAGACCTTAAACTTCCTCTCACATTCCCTCTGAGCTAGTGATGCTATGTAAGTCAGTCTAATGGAAGGCTAATGCTGCATTATATTCAATTATAAAACCCTGTAAAACATGATTTAATTCTTACTTGCTTTATTGAATAAAATCAGGGGAGAGGAGGAGGTTCTGTCCCTGCAGTCTCTTCTATGTTTGTCTTTTGGTGAAGGTCAGTTATGACAGGTATCTTGAGGAAACTGTTGCCTTTTGCACCTTGATTCTGAATGGACTGATTATATAGACCAAGATGTTACACATTATAAAAGCTGTGTGGTTATGCAATGTCTTTAATGAATTAAAGTAAGCTAAAGCATTGCAGTTGTACCTTGGAGCACTTAGACATCACACTTCTCCTTGCATTGCATGTGTTGCGTATCTAGAGTTTGCTTTCTTTATCAGTTACAGTTTCAGGAATAATTGAGGAATGCTGGATGGAACTTTTGCGTCTACCATAGATTTAATTTTTATGTAATTTATATATCTTTGCACAGGAGTTCACCTCGATCCCTGAAAAGTTTTTGGGGCTCTGTTTAACAAAATGCTTTCCTGCTTTCATAGTGCTTTGGATTAAGTGTGACTTGTGTGATACCTCTGTTAGTGTGTGGACCAGTTAATAAAGGCTCAATATCATTTCCAGTTGAGCTCACTGGTGGTACCCTTTCCTTCCTTTTTCCATTCCTACATGTTTACTCTCTGCTGCATCTATTCATTGGACACATAGCTAACAAAGTCATTATAGCACTTGTACCAACTATGTGGTAGGACAGTAATTCCCAGCCATGATTGACTCTTGGCAACACCACTCAAGAAGTGAAGACATTGACAGTTGTAATTTACTCTTTCTGTCAGACTGACTTTGTAATTTCCTTTGGCTGAGCCATGATTTAAGAAGTGCTGTTTTTGACTAACTCTTGTTAATTTTGTCTTCTGTCTCTTTTCACATCTCATTTGTCTCCTTCCCTATTCATCTTCTCATTTCTGCCTTCCCACCCCTTCCATTTTCTATCGCTACTCCACTGCTGTACACCCACTTCCATTTTTGTTCCTCTTCTTTGCTCTCCTACTGCAGATACTGTTTTCAGTCTCTTCGTTGTGTTTTGTTAGTTCTCATTTCTGCTTAAAAGGAGATGTGCTCCTGAAGAGTTTATTTATCATTCCACTGATTGCTAGTAAGAAACAAGAATGAAAATATGTTTATAGTAGCATATAATTCACCTTGCACATAGATGTATTAGTGCTATTAGCTTATACTAAGCTTCTTGATCGTGTAGAATGAAGGTCAGTATATATCTTGGCCGCTCCTGAGGAGTGTTAATAAACACTCCTTTTGTTGATAGATTTTATTTACATTCATAGGAAAATAAATTACATAAGAGCAGTTTAATCCTAGGTTTATTTATAAGATTTGATTTAAAACAAAGGGAAAAAAATAGTAGTTTTCTCAGGTAGCTTAACAAAACTTTTTATCTTGGAGGCTTAATAAAACTTTGATTCATGGACAGAGTTGCTCCAAGTCAGTGGTGTATCATGCTTAGCCATTTGTACACATTTTGGAGAAACTTCTCCTAAACCCCACCATTCTTTCTGGTGCATATCTCACCATTTGCAACCTGCTTTGGATCTTCTACTGACTGGAGGGGGAGATCCCTCTCTTATGCCTGTTAGCTCTTTACTTTTGCTGGACTTGTAATGGCATAGAGGTGTCTGTGCTGGCGTTTTGCTGTTGAGGTCCCCTCTGCATAAGTCCCCTGAAAACAAGAAAATTACAGAGCAGCTGAGACTGTTAAGGTAAACAAGGTAATATTATACCTTTAAATGAGGGTTTCATTTTATTGGTGGTGTTTTCTGCGTTAGTCACTGGGTGGTTTTATGCATTTGACTTTATTTTTTAATTTACTTATTTTTTTTTCTCAAGTAATATGGGAGTATTGTCCTAAAAGGGATCCGGGGGGAGCAAGGCTATGAAACTGGATTAGCTATAGAACATGGAGATTTTACTATCTGATGGTATTAGAAATTAGGCACGTTAATAGTAACACTTGGTAAAATAAATTGCACATAATTAGGAGTCCTTTTCTGAGAGGTACACCTTTGACCAGTTTCTGACCATAGAATTAAAGTGGGTTTTCTATATTGAATCAGTTAATATATTGCTCGTGCTAATTAGAATTCTTGGTGGTGGGTTGTTGTTTTCTTTTCAGTCAAAACCACTTTTCTAGTTGTCTTGGATCAAAGGCAACTCCTATCATTATGATCAAATGATTGGATATGTTAATTCATATTATATATTTCTTCACCTCAACCAATACATCTGTACTGTAGCAAATGTGGGCTATATGCTTTTCGAAGTTATTCTCTTGTGTAATTATATTTACTTTTTTGGAGCCACATGATGGATGTGACTGAATATACTGATTACAGTAAACATTAAATACATTTTGAAGTTTAGCTAAGTAGTCTGAACTGCATTAATTCCAACGAAAAAATCCTGGCATTAAGCTAATTTACTGGGCTGGAGCAAGCCTATAGTGCCTGCAGATGCAGTGAGTGTTCCTTTATCGCTTAATTTGGTTTTAGCCATAATATTCTTCAAACTTTTTTTACACTCCTCCCCCTCCCTACCCCATTTCAACTCTGTCTTCTTGCTATCTCTGACTTTCTGATATAAACTTAATGTGTTTCAATAAGGAGTAGCAGTAGACATCTGCCTTAAGTTCACAAGGGGCTTGGACAGTTTCATTCATCCTTTGTCAGGTATGGCAAGATAGCTCTGCAATCTATCTAAACCAAAAGAGATTACTTACACCATGGTCTTCTGTGATTTCCTTGTTTTGAGACCAAGTTAAAATGCTTTCAAGTTAGAAAGAATGAACCTGTCCCTAAATGCTCTGAACCCCTTTAATATAAGCAGAAATGATGCTGCAAGTCAATCTGTGATGGAAATGAATGATTTATAGTTTGTTATTGGAATCCTGAATCTATTTTTGTGCTTCTGCACTATTTCCTTTGCACTGTATTCCTATGAAGTTTATTTTTAAAGACCTACCCAATTTTGGAGATGAAGAATGCTACTGAAAAACAGTCTTCAAAAAACAAGCTCCTGAACTCTGGTAACATGAGCTTCAACCTCAGTTGTTTGTTAAAAGAGTGTAAAACTTGGGGAAAAATCAGGTCAGACTCAAAAAAACCTTTTGGATGGAATTATTTCATCAAACTTGGTCACAATTAGATTGTAACTCTCCAACTTTCTTCCTCTTCCCTGAAGACAGTTAAATGTCATCTTGAGTAAGCCCTGTAGCCTGGAGGAACTTAAGAGTCACTGCCATGTAGGCATGTACTCCTCTCCTTAGTAGGAGCATCCATACTTGAGTGATATATGACCCCACAAGTTTACAAGAAATGTTGTCATGTGAACAAGCTGCATATGTGATTTCATTTCAAGAAGTACTTGTCTTTTAGTCACAAATGGACAGATCAAGTTACATGATAGGGATGTGAGGAAAGTGGAGATCCTTTGGCAGCTTTTGGTGAACAGACATCTAGAGCAATTATTCTGACTGATGCCCACCTCTGCCCCAGTGCCCCAACTCCTGACTTTCAGAGCAAAGATTGGGCCAGATAAATTGTTCTGATGGCTGATGGGCTGGGTACAATCTTGAGGCTGTCAGTAGGATACCTTTTTTTTTTTTTTTTTTTTTTTTTTTTTTTTTTTTTTTTTTTTTTTTTTTTTTTTTTTTTTTTTTTTTTTTTTTTTTTTTTTTTTTTTTTTTTTTTTTTTTTTTTTTTTTTTTTTTTTTTTTTTTTTTTTTTTTTTTTTTTTTTTTTTTTTGTGTGTGTGTGCTGGGTGTTTTGTTTGTAATCCCTGAAGCTGATTAATGATGCAGGTCTAAGGTTTAGACTTAGATGAAAGTGGAAATTTTAGCCTCTAAACCAAAACTTGTATTTGAATATGTAGATATATTCTGTAATGGAGAGGTGCATAAAATGTACCAGACCTAGAGTAGTACCACTTCACTTTCCTTGCTTGTGCTTTGAAGCAGTAAAATAGTAGCTTCCTTTGTCCTTTCAAATAGAGAAATGGAGCTAAACCCACTTACCTCACATGTGAAGGGGATTATCTGAAGAGCAATTAGGTCTTGATGGCAGTACTTGGACCACAGGTCTGGTTATTGGACTCCTTATGCATGGCTTACCTCCTTTGTGGGACTTAAATAATCCTACAGTTGGAACACCATTTCAGTTTTTAAATATAATAGCCCCTTTTTTCTCCTTCACTAGTTATCCACTGCCTAGGGTGTTACAGTTTGGGTTTTTTAGGGCAGTGGCATTTAGAACTTAGATTTTAATGAAGGACTTCAGGCTCAAGAAAGGTGTAGAGTTTTACTCTAAGGACAGGGCTATACAAGCAGAGGCTGCTGTGCCATGTGAATAATTTCTTTGACATGCCAACAGTTTTCAGCTGCTCTAGTTTCATTAGTCAACATTTTTGCTGTTGATGATTTACAGGTCTGATATGCTAGCATCAGGTTTAAGTAGGATGAGAGTAGATACAGGTCATAAACAACTGACACATTTTGTACTAAATGCTGTTTGAAAGATTGGAGAGAATAATCACTTGGGATAAGGCTGCAGTGACTTAGTGGGAAATTTGAATGTTTGGATACCTAAAGATAGAATAGATCCAAAATGGTTTGTAAAATATTTTGGTAGCTGTGATGCTCAGGTACAATGTTTTGTGGTGGTTTTTTTTTTGTTTTGTTGTGGTTTTTTTTGTTTGTTTGTTGTTTTTTTTTCTTCCTTGATTTTGTCTTTGTGTTGTTTTTCTTTGGGCTTTTGTTTGTTTGTTTTGGGTTTTTTGGCTGTTGTTTTGTTTCTGTTTTTAACTTGATTCACTAGACTTAGATAGCC